TATATAAATTTATATTTATATATATATAAAATATATATATATATATTTTAAAGAAATTTGAAAGCGTTTCTCTACTGTCTTCTGGTTACCAGAGTTTTCTTAGGAAGCCGGATGCCTTTCCACATCCTCTTTTTTTTTAATGTAACCTATTGTTTGTTTAGTTTTGTTTGGAAGTTTATAGTATCTTTTCCCAATATCTAGTGGGTCCACTGAATAAGCTTTTAAGAAGCTTTCTTTGGCTGCTGTGTGGAGAGTAGATGGAGAGGAGGCAGGCACAGGCAGGAAACTGTTGGAATAATCCAGACAAGAGATGACGGGGGCTCTGACGAGGGTGCTGGCTGTAGAGACAGGCAGGAGTGGATAGATTCAGGATAGATTTTTGAAGGCAGGGCTCATAGAATTCGCTGTTTGTTACGATTATTTTTTAATTGTGGTGAAATACACACAATATAAAATGTATCATCCTGACCGTATTTAAGTGTGCAGTTCAGTAGCACCACGCACACTCACACTGCCGGGCGACCGTCGCCATCACCCAACTCCAGAACTCTTTCCTCTTGTCAGACTGGAACTCTGCCCCCATAAACGCTAACTCCCCATTTCCCCCTCCCCTCAGCCCTTGGTAACCACCAGTCCACTTTCTGTTTCTCTACATGAGGTACCACATATGAGTGAAATCATACAGTATTTCTCCTCTCCTGTCTGGCTTATGTCATTCAGCATAACGTCCTCAATGTCCATGCTGCAGCCTGTGTCAGAATTTCTTTCCTTTTCAGGGCTGAATGCTATTCCACTGCCTATATGTACTCCATTTGGCTTATCCATTCCTCTGTCGTGGGCACCCGGGTTGCTTTAGCTATTGTGGATATAATGCTGCTGTGAACATGGGGGTACAAACACTGCTCCCAATCCCTGCTTCCAAGTTCTGCTGGAGTTACATTCAGAAGTGGGACTTCTGGATCACATCGTAATTGTATTTTTGTCTTTTCGAGGAACCATCGTACTGTTTTCCACAGTGGCTGTGTCATTGCACATTCCCACCAGCAGCGCACAAGTGTTCCAGTTTCTCCACATCCTCACCAACACTAGTCATTTTCTGTTTTGGGATGATAGCTGCCCTCCTGGGTTTGATAGGATTTGCTATTTGTGATGGGGTTGGTAAAGGAAACAGAGTTCCAAGTATGACTCCTTCTCTCCATCCATCCATCCATCTTCCCGTATACTCTTTCATAGCACTAACCATAACGTGTTTATTCATGCATCGATTTCATCATCCACTCATTCACCTTTCCAATCGTCCTTCCCTCCACCTACCAAACCCTCCATCCATCTCCCACTGACTTATCCATCCAATAGCTCTATGGAAGCATCTTGAAACCTCAAGCACATTGCTAGGTGCTGTGGGGTGACTATGACTCAGGTCCTTTCAGATTTGTCTTTGCAACACGGGAAATAGCTGAAGCCTAATAACTAAGATCCCAGGGAGAGAGTGACAAGTACGATGGGGCCTGGAGCTCTCTACTCTAAGCCATCTCTGAAGAATTTGCAAGAGGCTGGCCTTCAGGAGCTCAGTGATCTGTGATTTACTGAGAAGGTTGCTTCTCAGCTCCTGCTTTCTTAATTCCTCATCTCCCTCCTCTGTCTTGCTCTTACTTCTGCTCCCCTGGGGGAGCCCTGGCTTCAGGCTGGGATTTCTCTTCTGAGGAGATAAGGTCAACTAAATGACACTTAAGGCTTGAGTTTTTTGTGTGTGGGGTTGTTTTAAATTTCCTATTTTTGTTTTGTTTTGTTTGTCCTGGTTACATACAGGTATTACTGCAACCAAAAACCTGAGTAAGAATAGGGATGTGTGGATAGGACTTTGGTCCCAGATTGGGAGCCGGTTTAGAGGGAGAAAATGAAAGATTTAGATGAATGGGTTATTGCTGACTGGATGGATGACAGATGGATAATGGGAGGATGCATGGATGCATGGATGTTTGAATGACAGATGGATGGATGTTTGGATGGGTGGATGGATCATGTATAGATAATGGTTGGATGAAGAATGGATGATGGATGAGGGGTGGATGATGGTAGACCAGGTGGGTAAGAGCAGTCAGTAAAGTCAGTCCCCATGGGTCTTACCTAAAGCGTCCATTTAACAGACTTGTTCCTCAGAGGTGGTATGATAGAGTGGTAGGAGTTCAGTCCCGTGGAGTCATACACAGGGAGGTTTGGATGAAGGTCGACTGTGACCTGCTTTGGGAAATGCTGGCCTCAGGCTGGGACTACCAGAGTGAGCCCACGGCCTCAGGTGGAGCTAGAACAGAGCGGGGAACAGGAGGGAAAGAGCAGCCAGGGCCCTCCCCCACACCTGCAGGGCTGCATGTACTCAGGGTTCCCCCACCCCGAAGTGGAGTGGGCGTGAGGGTGGGGGTTGGTGGGCAGGATCGATGGGGCATTCTATGAAGATGAATGCATCTTCACCTCGGGCAGCAGAAGGCAGAAATGGGGAGGGCCAGGAGCGGGGCCAGAGGGGGATTTACAGCTAAAGAGGAACCCGGGGTGCTCACTAAACCCCAGAGCCCCCAAAGGGCCTGTCTCGGAGGACAGAGCCAGCACGGGGCTGGGCGGGGGTGAGGGGGGTACTTTCTGGATCTCCCTAACTCACAGCAAGGTGAATGTGCAAATGCAGTGTTGTTTTGTCTTCCCGTTGGGTTTAGTAATTTTGTGGAGGAGAGTCAGAGAGTTCTTAGAGAATAGGATTCATTCACACATTCAGGAAATGTTTGCCGAGTGCCTGCTGGGTCCAGGCACCGGGAATGCGGGAATGCGGAGCTGAATAAAAGCAGTCACTGCCACCCTGGGTCGTGCTGGGGCCCCACTCCAGCCTCTGGGGGGCGTGACAGCGGGGGCCCCTAAAACCTTTTCTCAGGGCTATTGACTAAGGTGACAGGAGCAGAGGGAAGAGGACGAAATAAATATATATATTGAAGCACCTGCCTTTTGCTCAAGTGCTAATCTGGGCTCTTTAAATAAACTAGTAACAGTAGTAATAATAATAGAGGTTTGTTTGTGCCAGGTTCTGGTCGAAGCACTTTGCAGGCTCATTTAATCCTCACCACAAGCCTGGGAGCTGGGTGTAATGATTAGCCCCATCTTACAGGTGAGGAGACTGAGGCTTGGGGAGGTGCAGGGACCTGCCCATGTCACACAGTGGTAAATGGCAGAGTCAGAATTTGAACCCAGGTCTGCTGACTCCCGGATCATGTATGTCTCCCCTCTATGTTGTGCGGCCTCATAGAGGTGGGAGTCTGGACGGAGGAATGAGTTCACATGTGAATGGGACGCCAGTTAACTACCCAGCCGGGTCTCCCGCGTGTAGCATGGGGAATGAGAGGCTCAGAGTCACATGGCAAAGCCACCACAGAGCCCCCAAACACATGTCATTTCTCAGGGATGTGTGAGTGGGTCTATGCTGCGCGAGAGAGAACAAGAACGAGGGAGACAAACCGACAGACAGGCAGGCACACATCACACACACATGCGCACCTGGGCCGGCGGTGGTCCCCCTGCAGGGCCTTGTGCTTGTCCCAGAGACGCTGCCCTAGCCTAGCGTCCCACACACTCTATGAGAAAATCCCTCTTGTCGCTCTATCACCACACCTTCTGGACCCCGAAATGTACCCAGGAAGTCCTCAGACGTGCGGCAGTTTTTGTTCTTGGAAAAGGTGCCCAGAGGAACCATGGTGAAGACCTGTATGAGTCCCAAAACAGGGCTGCCAGTGGCATGTGACTGTTCCCCAAACTCGAGTCCACCCCGCCGCAGACTGAAAGCACCCATGGGGGAGTTTCCAGGAAAGCCTCAGCTCCTAGTAACCTCGCAGGAACACAGATACAGCTGCCCGAGGGCTTGGCTTTGCAGGGGCAGCACCGTGAGTCCGGAGTGGTTCTGTATGTGAAGAATGCCAGCCCTGTGACTCTGCAGTGACACACCTTGGCCATGTGACAAGGCTGGGTGCATGTGACTGTGGGCAGCCAGTCGGCTCAGGAACCACTGGGAGGTCTTAACTCCCAGCCTCCTCGGGAGCCGGGCCTTTCACAAATGTGAACTCATGGGTAATCTCCTGACAACTATTATCCCCCTTTTAGAGGTGAGTCAACTGAGGCCAGAAAGGTCCATGCCTGAGCCCACACAGGAATTACATGCCAGAACCAAGATGCAGACTCTGGCTCAAAGCCTGTGTCCCTGTGGCCGCCCGGGGAGGCAGGAGAGAAGTGTGGTTGAGAATGCAGACTTCGCTTCAGCTCTGGGTCCTGGCTCTGCCAGCGACAAGGCGCTTGACCATGGGCACGCTGTGTGTGTAGCCTCTCCAAGCCTCAGGGTCCTCATCTATAAAGTGCGATTGTCAAATACAAGCTGGTGGTTAGATGGCTGATGTCGCTTGTAGCTCAGCCTGGCCCGTGGTAATTGCCCCATAAGACCTGGCATTCTTTTTATTGATTAAAAATGTTTTTATTGATTTTTTTTTTTTTTAGAGAGGGAGGGAGAGGGAGAGAGAGAGAGAGAAACATCAACGTGAAGAGAAACATCTATTTGTGAGAGAGAAACATCGAAAACATCGATCGGTTGCCTCCCACACACAACCTGACCAGGGACTGAACCCACAACTGGGCATGTGCCCTGACCAGGAATCAAACCTTTGGGTACATGGGACAATGTTCAACCAACTGAGCCACATTGGCCAGGGATATTGATTATTTGTAGAGAGAGAAAGGAAGGGAAAGAGAGAGAGAAATATTGATTTGTTGTTCCACTTATGTATGAATTTATTGGTTGCTTCTTGTATGTGCCCTGACTGGGGATTGAACCCACAACCTTGGCACATGGGGACGGTGCTCTAACCAGCGGAGCTACCCGGCCAGGCCGGCCTGGCATTCTTATTTGTTAAACCATTCTGACCTTTTCCTGCCGGGCCCACCCGGCTCACCGCCGGCGGCCTGGCTGTGCCCCGCAGACCACTACTGGGACTTCCACCCGCACCACGTGCACAGCGAGTTCGAGAGCTTTGCGGAGAACCACTTCACGGAGCTGCAGAGCGTGCAGCCCCCGCAGCTGCAGCAGCTCTACCGCCACATGGAGCTGGAGCAGATGCACGTGCTGGACACCCCCATGGCGCCCGCCCACGCCGGCCTCGGCCACCAGGTGCGTGCGGCCCGACCCCCACAGGCGCCTGAGGCCGGTGGGGAGGCCCAGCTTCACAGGAAGCTGACACAGGCTCTTACTCAACTCGGCTTCCTGCCCCACAGTGCCAACGGCGGCCGGAGCCCCAACGGCTCCTCCTGGCCCTGGGCTGACCTCATGACCCCACGCCCCTTATCTCCTCTCTCCCACGATGGACAGAGTCCAGATAATCCCCCCCCCCCGCCCACCACACACTGATCCACTCGACCTTGACGGCCTTGTCAGAGGCCTTCCTGACCCTCACTGGCTGCAACCCTCGTTCACTGGGCCCTGAGGGATCTGGCATCCATGTCACTGACCTGTACGGACCCCTACCGGCCCCTCCCTCTCCTCACTGGCCCTGTTTCCTGACCCTCGTCAGCCCACCAACCCTAATCCCCGTCAGTGACCTCCACTAGCCTCTGCCTCCCCTCGCTGACCTCCACTGCCCTTTTACTCACTCATCATCGTTCACTTGGGCGCTCTTCACCCCCACTTCTTTCCCAGGCCACTGCTAGTCCGCACGGTACCTTCGTGCGTGTGAGAAAAAGGGCCCCTTTCCTGGGTCACTTAGCCCTGAACCAGGGGGTCCAGCTGGACGGGATTTCACGACCTGCACCCGGTGTGCGGTGACCCTGCCTGTAACCTGATTGACCTCCACTGTCCCCAGCCTTCTTCCAAACCTCTCTGGGCCCTGCTGACCTGCCGCCCTCAGCACTTCTCTCACTCCGTGACCCCTGCCTTGCAGCCCTGAGCTCCCAATGTCCCTCCCTGACCTCAACTCTCTTTCCAGGTCTCCTACCTACCCCGCATGTGCCTCCCGTACCCCTCCCTGTCCCCGGCCCAGCCCAGCACGGATGAGGAGGAGGGCGAGCGGCAGAGTCCCCCACTGGAGGTGTCCGATGGGGAGGCCGATGGCCTGGAGCCAGGGCCGGGCCTCCTGCATGGGGAAACAGGTAGGGGGGCCCCGCCCCAGCCCCATTCTGGCCATATCTGCCCCATGCCCACTCCAGCCGAGGCTGACTGACTCAGTAGTCATACCGCAGAGCTGAGTGTGTGAACATTTGCCAGTGTGTGTGTTCCTGTGTATCTTGTGGGAGCATCTGTGACCGTCTGTATCTGTGTGTGTGTGTCTGTGAGCACGTGTGCATGAGAGCTGAGTACGCAGCCGCTCTATGCCTGGGTGTGGACGGGTGTGTGTGCATCTGCACCCCTCTGTGCTATGTGGGAGTGGGTGGGAGTGGGAGTGTGTGTGCCAGGCATAGGGTGGGGGAGCTGGCTCCCCTGTGGGCCTCCCCGAATCCCGTCCTTCCCCACATAGAACTCCCAGGGGCCCCTTTCTGGGTGGTGGGCACGGGTCCCGGGCTGGGGCGCTGACCACCCCCCGCCCACAGGCAGCAAGAAGAAGATCCGCCTGTACCAGTTCCTGCTCGACCTGCTTCGCAGTGGGGACATGAAGGACAGCATCTGGTGGGTGGACAAGGACAAGGGCACCTTCCAGTTCTCGTCCAAGCACAAGGAGGCGCTGGCACACCGCTGGGGCATCCAGAAGGGCAACCGGAAGAAGATGACCTACCAGAAGATGGCCCGCGCCCTGCGCAACTACGGCAAGACGGGCGAGGTCAAGAAGGTCAAGAAGAAGCTGACCTACCAGTTCAGCGGGGAGGTGCTGGGCCGCGGGGCCATGGCCGAGCGGCGCCACCCGCCCCACTGAGCCCCGGCGAGTGACCCGACCCGCTGGGCCCACCAGGCCTCCCTGCTGGCCATAGCATTAACCCCTCACCCGGCCCGGACACAGGGAGGGAAGCTCCCAGGGGCCAGGGCAGGACTGTGGTGGGCCAGGCGCGCCTCACCTCCCACTCCCTCCTCCTCCAGGCCCAACCCACATCCCTGCTTCGCCTCCCACCAGGACCCCAGCCCTGGCCCCAAAAGGCACCTGGGGGAGTCTGACCCCTGGAGAGGGTCGGCCTGGATTAGTGCTGCCAGGTGCTGCCTTGAGAGTCGAAGCCATCAGACCTGTGTACATACCCACCCTGTAAGCACCTCTCCCTTCTCACACCTCTGTCCCATCAGCTTCCTCAAGAAACTTGCAGCACAAAGAGTTTCTTTTAAAATGGATTGTCCGCCCCCCCCCACCCCCACCCTCACCCCCATGATCTCTCCTTTTCCCATTTATGTATTGGCATTTTCTAAGGACACCCAGTGCTCAGATGCTGGGGATGTGAGGACACAGGGATCAGCCTGGAGTTAGAGCTGTGGACAGAATGAGTCCTCAGTTCTTATTAGGGAAATAAATCATTGCAAAACTCTCCACACCTGGCAAATGGTTTTTAAAAAAAGCCTCAGTGAGGCTTAAACTCATAATCCTTGGGTTATGCCCCCAGTGGTGGTGGTGATAACTGTGGCCATTTATTACATGTCAGCCTTGGGACGTGGGGCCCAATATCACCCCAGGGTACAGACTGGGAAACAGAAGCTCACAGAGGTCAAATACTTTGTTCAAGGTCACACAGCTGGCGAGGGCCGCAGGCCCATGGAGCTCCAGGTGAGCGGCCACGTCAGTGTGAGGGAGGAGGCTTCCCGTGTCCGGAATGGGGTACAGTTCAGCAAGGTGACCCCACGCGGCCAGTGGGACACAGAGCGTCCGCCGGGACCCGTGTGAGCAGGACCCCTTGGGTGGACTCAGTGTGTTGTGTTCTCTGGCTTCCAGGCCACAGCGGGGGAGGAACAGCCGAGGGGGCCGGGGGTCTCTGAGCTTCTTGCTGCCGACTGCCCAGTAGCAAGAAGTGGCGGCCGCCGGCCGGAGTGAGGTGGCTCCCCGCAGCAGCCTGCAGGCCGCAGGGAACCCAGATTCTGGGGCCAGCTGTGTTGGGCAGACACCCCGCATGCCTCCGCACCCCGTGACACTCCCTACGCCGTCGCCAAGCCCTGAGAGAGGGTCAGGGGCGTGCAGGCCTGAGATGCGGCTGAAAAGTGGTTTAAATGGCAGAAAAGAATGGATTTCTGTGTTCGCAGGGATGTGAGTTCCCACCACGGGGGGCATGTGGCCTTTCCCGACCTCACAGCCAGCCTCGCTAGGGCATCACGTGTAACCTGCTCCTTTCACGTATGTGTAGATATGTGTAGATATGTATATACAAAGGGAGCAGAGAGGCCCTGTGAGCTGCACCCAGGGCCCCACAGCACGAAGCCAGCCGGGCCCTGAGCTGTGATGCCCGGGGTCAAACAGTAGGAGCACACAGTCCCTCCGCATTTCCCACACGCCCGGCCCTGCTCCGGCGTCTCCATAGGTAAACCCACGGCGCGCACGGAACAGGCCCAGGCGGCGGGTGCTGCCGTCACCACGCCACGTTACAGGCGAGGAGACTAAGGCCCTGGGAGGGGAAGGGAGTGGCGGTGGCAGGACTCAGGGCGGCCCCAGGGTCTGTGTGGGGAACCCCCACCCGTACCGCCCAGCGAGGATGCGCATTCGATCCACCCACCCCAGGGCCGTGGGCCCAGCTCACTCCCATGGCACCGTGTGCCCGTCAGATGGACATACAGGCAGGGCTTGGGGTTCCCCTGAGGTTCACTGAGGATGTGGGGGGGCAGAGCCATCATCTTGGGCTGGTGGGGGAAGGGACAGCCAGGAACAACATGGCCCCACCTTCTCCTGAGAGCCCTGCTCACTGGAATTTGTCTATATTTAGCAGGTAGCTGGGAAGGAGGCAGATAAGGGGGCCCTGGGGAGGGGGAGGCCCCTTATATAGTGGGGGACAGGTCCCTGCCCAGATCCTCTTCGGGTGGCCTGTGCCTGCTCGGTTCTTGGTTTGACTTCTCTCAAGATGCCTGAGCCGGGGAAGAAGCCAGGTAGCTCAGGCGGGGGGTGGGCTGAGGTGGGCAGGGCGGGCTGGGGGCCTTACAATCAGGGGCCGGCCTTGGATCGAGCCCTGAGGCGGGTACATACTGTCTTTCTGGGCCCTTTCCTGACGCGCAGTTTCTCCTTCCTTTCCTACTGATGGGAGTGAGGGCAACCCAGGGTCAGGGGCAAGGGGGCAGAGAGCCAAGGCAGGAGGTCCCCATCCCCCCATCCCCCATCAGATGCTGGGGACCGTCCCTGAGCCCCATCTCCTTCTGCAGCAAGGGTAGGCTTGGCCTGCCTTCTGGGGAAAGGCCCCAGGCAGGCGCCAGGTTGAGTCTGGACGCGCTCGCTCACTGAACGCTCCTGGACAAGGCCTTCCCCCATCTGGTCTCCGTTCCTGTCTCCACCAGGAGGGGTTGGGTTGGTTCTTTCCACCTGTGAGAGGCTCTGCTTTAGGAGCCGGCGCCCCCGTGGCCCCGACCCCAGGCACGGCCCCGCGTTGAGGTTACGCAGACGCTCTGCTCTGGGAGAGGACAGTCAAGAGGCCCCAGCCCGGCCAAGGGCAGAGAAAGTCACAGCCTTTCGCAGGATCGCGGGGCCCGGTCCTGGCCTGTGTCCTCGGCGAGGCTGTGCAGGGCAGGGATCCAGTCCCCCAGCCCCAGCCCCCTCCCAGGCCCGCTTTATCTCAGTCGCTGATTCTCAGCCTGAGGCCCTTAGGGGACAAATTTAGCCGCGTCCAAGTAGGCAGATACCCGTCCCTCGCCAAGACCCCAGATGGCGGGGTGGGGGGTGGGGGTTGGTGGGGGGGGAGCTGAGCTCCCGGGTTTCCCTGGGCGGGTCATTCTGGGATGCCCTTAGCCAAGGTCTTGTGATTAGGACCACAGCCCTGGCTTTCCCGCCTACTGGCTGTGTGATTTTGGTAACGCACTTAACCTCTCTGAGTCTTGGTGCCCTCATCTGAGAGATGGGCGTAAGAGCGACCCCTTTCATTGGAGCAGGAAATGAGGTGATGCGTTCAAGTGCTTATCACCGTGTTGAATGAGAGGGGCCGCAGGGGTGGGGTGCACGGGCAAGCCAGGGCCCCGCAGCCTCTATTGGGCCTTCAGTCTCAGCCTTCAGCAAGAAGCCGCGGTCCATGGAGGTGGCGGCCGGCGGCCCTGCCGTGTTCGAGGCCGAGACAGAGCGGGCAGGAGTGAAGGTGCGCTGGCAGCGAGGGGGCAGTGACATCAGTGCCAGCGACAAGTTTGGGCTGGCGGCCGAGGGCACGCGGCACACGCTGACAGTGAGGGACGTGGGCCCCGCGGACCAGGGGTCTTACGCAGTCATCGCAGGCTCCTCCAAAGTCAAATTCGACCTCAAGGTCGTAGAAGCAGGTAAGACGCTGGTCAGTCTCCCCTGAGGTTTGAACTTCTGGGGGTTTGGGCAGGGGCCGCCCCGCCACCTCTCCATTGCCTGGGGCGTGGGAGGTGCTTTCCCATCTCTCGCCTTTGCTTCGGCTGTGCCCTCTGCCAGGAAAGCCCCCCTCTGCTGGGAGAGGCCTCTCTGAGTGCCCCCTGCGGCTCCCTGGCCTATCCAGCCACTGTGGAGGCGGGGAAATTCAGAGATGAGCAGTGCATGAGGCTGCCCTCCCCCTGGACACCCACACTCGGCCCGAAGGTGTGCGCCCCAGGGGAGCCCTGGGGGCTGTGGGCCTGGAGGGAGCCCAGCTGGGGGCCTGGGCCAGGGCAGAGCCTGCGGAAGGAAAGGAGGGTGGATGCCAGAACTGGTCAGAACGGACCCACTGACGTGAGCACAGAGGGTGTGAGCCGGGGAAGCCGGTGCTGGCTCCCGCTCAGTGTGTGCCGCCCACAGGGCTGCATCCAAGTGAGATGCCCCGTGGACAGTGGGTTCCTGGGCCTGATGCTCGGGAGAGACAGGGTCGAGGAGGGGGCCGTGAACTCACAGAGGTGGTGGGTAGAAAGGGAGAGAATTTAGGGGAGAGACAAGGTCATGGCAGGTGAGGAAAAGGGAGGAACCAGGTGAGCTGTGCACACACCGCAGTATTTAATGCAGCTACAAAGATGGAGGCGAGACCTGGGGCAGGAGGGTTCTGGGTAGAAGCTGCTCCACAGCCCCTACCCCATTCCCTGCAGAGCCGGCAGAGCCTGTGCCAGCCCCAGCCCCTACCCCTGCCCCTGCCGAGGCCCCTGGCATTCCCGGAGAAGCCCCGGCCTCAGCCACTGAGGTGGAAGGAGGCTCCCCGAGTCCCGAAGGTGAGGGGGCCGGACAGGGAGGGCCTGGGCCAGTGTGGGGTGTCCCAGCGCAGGTCTCAAAGGCCTCTGCCCACAGGGTCAAGTTCAGCAGCCACCAATGGGCCCGCTGCCCCCGATGACCCCATCGGCCTCTTTGTGACGCGGCCACAGGATGGCGAGGTGACCGTGGGTGAGTGTGGGGCTACTGCAGCCCGGGGGGAGGGGAGGGCGGCAGCAGAGCTACCCCAAGCCCACTGCCACCGTCTCCTGCAGGTGGCAGCATCACCTTCTCGGCCCGCGTGGCCGGGGCCAGCCTCCTGAAACCTCCCGTAGTCAAGTGGTTCAAGGGCAAGTGGGTGGACCTGAGCAGCAAGGTGGGCCAGCACCTTCAGCTGCACGACAGCTACGACCGGGCCAGCAAGGTGGGCACGGGGCCCTGGGCCCTGGGGTTGTGGGGAGACATGGAAACTGGGGGGCACACAGCGGTATAAAGAAGGGGGATGGGGAGCCTGGGAAACTCCTTCCACGCCTGTGAACCTGGCCCAGGGGCGGGCCTGTGGCAGGCAGGCCCACAGGTTCGGTTGTGTGGCTGTGCTGTTGGTTGTGTGGCTGTGCTGTTAGTTGTGTGGCTGTGCCGGTTGGTTGTGTGGCTGTGCTGTTGGTTGTGTGGCTGTGCTGTTGGTTGTGTGGCTGTGCATTGCACAAAAGTGCCTCATCTTCAGCGAATGCCACTCGCCCGGTAGCCATCACAGATTTCTGTTTTCTTTTTTTTTTTTTTTTTTTAAATATATTTTATTGATTTTTTACAGAGAGGAAAGGAGAGAGATAGTTAGAAACATCGATCAGCTGCCTCCTGCACACCCCCCACTGGGGATGTGCCCGCAACCAAGGCACACGCCCTTGACCAGAACCAAACCTGGGACCCTTCAGTCCGCAGGCCGACGCTCTATCCACTGAGCCAAACCGGTCCTGGCCAGATTTCTGTTTTCTTACCATCCTGTGCCCGCAGATGGCAGTGTGAGTCTTGAGAAGGGGCTCCTTTTGCTATTTACATACAACTGCACGGGTTAACTTCACCTTGAAGGGTGAGAAGGTCGGTGGCCACTAGCCACCCCCAGCCTCCTTCAGGGGTGAGGGCCTCGTCTTTTGACCCCCGTCTCCGCGACACCTCACCCCACAGGTCTACCTGTTTGAGCTGCACATCACCGATGCCCAGGCCACGTCCGCTGGCGGCTACCG